CTTGTCCTTGGCCCCTCATTTGAATGAGAGTTTCCCTCTGGGCCCCTCTCGTGCCCTATACAAAGACAACACCTTAAAATCGCATATTGCCAGGTAAACATGAGAGATTATTACCAATAACGATCTACTCGTGCCTCTCCCCCGACCTCTCTGCTCCAGCTGCTCGGGGCATCCACTCTCTACCTTTCAAAGCATCGGAAACCCCATTTCTCATTCATTGTTACAAGCACTGATCAGGCCCCCACTGTGGTGTTCTGTCCTGCAGCACTGGGTTGGGAGGGAGGAAGGAAGCACTATAGACAGGATTCTTCCAACGGGGACATGGGAGCAGGTGACAGCGAGAGAGGTGGAAGCCAAGGAGCGGTCAAATGACATCCAGGTGCAGGTGGGTGCAGAGGAGGCTGGAGTGAGGGGCGGACCCAGTGTATGAGCACCCGCTGTGCGCAGGTTGTGGCCCTGTGCCCCAGGACCAGAAGGCTGGAAGTTTCCTTTGCTCCTCCACCTCCATGGCAGATACACCTGGGTGTTACCTCCAGCACAGCTCAGCACAGACGTCAGTGCCTGTGGTCCGTCTTCCTGCCCTGGGAGCAGCACTAGGGGCCAAGAAGTGGGTCCAGCTGTCCGAGGAATCTCGGTCAAACCTAGTGGCTACTTTTTGGTGTCCACCTTGCCACACTGCTCTGCTCCTTTGAGAGTCTGCTGGTTCCTACTTTCCCAATGCCTGCCCCCCCCCCCACACACACACCAGAGTTTATCAAATGTGAAATTCGGAAGTTCAGAGGCCATGTCCATTGGCATCACCTGGGACGGGGCGGCAGCTTATGTAACAGTGCTGGTCCTGCTAATTCAAACTAAAAAGCTTCTGCACCGCGAAAGAAACCATCATTAAAACAACAGGCAGGCAGCCGAATGGGAGATCTGCAAACCACCTACCAGACAAGGAATTAATATCCAAAATATATCTAAACAACTCAACAAGAACAAACAACCTGATTTTAAAAAATGGGCAGAGGATCTAAATAGGCATTCCAGCAAAGAAGACATACAGATGGCCACCAAGTACATGAAAAGATTGCTTATCATTAGGGAAATGCAAATTAAATGAGATATCACCTTGCTCTGGCTAGAGTGGCTATCACCCAAAAGTTAAGAATAATAAGTGCTGATGAGGACGTGGAGAATATATTCCCATCTCTTGGTGGGAATATAAATTGATGTAGCCCTTAAACAGTTTGGAGGTTTCTCAAAACATTAAAAAATAGAACTACCATATGATCCAGCAATTGTACTTCTCGATATTTTCCCTAAGAATATGAAAACACTGATTTGAAAAGATACACGCACCCCTATGTTCAGTGCAGCACAAATTCAACATCGCCGAGAGATGGAAACAACCCAAGTGCCCAGCGATGACGAGAAGAACACGGATACGTGGACAAAGAAATGTGGTATATACTTAGAAGGGAATACTACTCAGTCATAAAAAGGTGAAACCTTGCCATTTGTAGCAACATTATGGGTGGAGAGGGACCAGATTGTACTAAGTGAAATAAGTCAGAAGGAGACAGACAAAGTGTATGTGTCCACTCATTTGTGGATTAGAAAGGAAAACAGAGCAACCGCATACACAAAACAAACACTTAGACTCTGACACCAGAATGTGGTGCCCAGAGGGGAGGAGGAGGAGGTGCAAATAAGAGGGGACTGACCGATTGGAGGTGAAGGATGACTGGACATTTAGTGGTGGGCATTGAGCGATTCCTCAACCACTGAGGTGAGAAAATGCACCCCTGAATTATACAGTCAATAGATGTTACCTCAAGAAAAAAAAGGGCTCCCATCTATGAGGGGAGGGACCCTAGTATCTGAATGGGCACACCACCCATTCTCCTTGGCACACCCAACACTGAGAGCCCCAGCGTTCCTGCTGCTTCCAGAATCCACCCGCCTGCCTGCCTTGCCCGGCTGCTGTCCCTGCCCGGGGACTTCAAGGGTGTTCTTCCTCGGCCAGGGTGCCCAGGCCCCTCCATCCAAGCCCCTGGCTCCTCTTCTACCATCCACCCCGCCCTGTGCCCCAGGCTAGACTTTCTTCTGCCATTGGGTAGCCAGTACCACCCAGACTTGACATGACCAAGGGTGGTCCCACCACCCTCTCCTGGGAACCCTCCTTCTGTCCCCACCCGTAGGGAACGGAGGAGTCAGACTTGCCTCCCTTGCCCTCTGCCTCCCTCGTCTCAGCAGCAATTAGATCCTGGTAGTTTTGCCTCTTCCATGCCCCCTCCCTGCCTTCCTCTCCCGACTGGCTGCCCCAGTCTCTCCTCTTCGCAGTGAATTTTTCAAAAGCTTTCTAAAATGCAAATCTAACTATAATAACCAACCTCCTTAAAGCCCTTCAAGACCTCCTCATGAACAGAGGGGCTCACCCCCTGACCCCACACATCAGCCCCTCGTCAGCTGTCCCGGCTTGCGGCTCGGCTCCCTCTCTTCCCCTGCCCGCCAGTGGCAGCAAATGGCTCCCACTATTGGCCTCCAGACCTTGGCCATTCACTGTCCCCGGCCAGGACCAGCCCTTGCCTGGCAGAATCTGCGTCACAACTCCACCATCACCTCCTCCAAGAAGGCATCCTGACCTACCCTCCCTTCCCCTCCCCCTCTCTCCCCGGTGCACCCATAATGCCCGGCACAGGGATCTGTTATTCCACTCACCACACTGAGTTACAATCATTTACAATCATTGATTTTCAAGTCTCCCGGTAGCCAGCGAGAGCCTTGAGGGCAGGGATGGTGTCCCATTCATCTCTGCATCTCAGCCCCTGGCCTGGCGCCTGGCTCTGAGGACAGGCTGACCAGTGATTGATAGATGAGTGCAGAAGGGAGACTGGAGGGAAGTGAGAGGCAGGAACAGCTGAGAGGGCAGTGAGGGCAGGTGTGGCAGGAGGCTCAGCCAAAGCAGCCGTGTGGGAAGCAGCAAAGCGAGAGCTTGCGCGCTGCACTCCCCCCGCTGCCGGCCAGCACCGTGCCTCAACTTTGTTTGCATTTTGTCTCATTAGTTCTTGCAACAGCAGAGCAGGACACCGGCACCAGAGAGCCAGAGCAACCTGCCCAAGGTCACACAGTCCAGCCTGGAGTGAAATCGGGACTGCCAGGCCCGAGAGCCTGCATTCTTGCTGCCGGGTCACACTGCTCTCCCAGGGACAGGGCCTTCTGGAGACGGACAGGAGTGGGCCCGGTTATGCCTCCCCCCAGCTGAGTGCCAGAACCAGCTGTCCACGCTGAGGCCAGCAGCTTCTTCCTCCCAGCCACACCAGAGACTCAGAGGCTGGACAGAATTTATCTGTCCCTTCCTCCCCTGGCTTCGGGGTCTTGGACTAGAGAAGCACACACACACCCCCTACCCCTACCCGGGAAGGGCTGCAGCATCCTGGTACCGCCCCAAGTGCCTGGGGAAGGCAGGGGGCTCGGTGATGGTGTCTGGGCTCTGCAGAATCTGTCTCCCTCATCGCACTTGGCCCAGGCTGATATTAAGATTCATCTGCATTCCCCGCGCACCCGCCTGGCAGATGGTGGGGGAGGAGGCTGGGTGTGTGCTGGGGGCTGCAGCCAGAGACCCAGCTGGGCCTCGAGGACCACAGAGCAGGGTGCCCACCCAGCATGCCCTATGGCCCAGCCAGGCTGGGGCCCCTCCAAATGCTGGGGCACCTCCTCATCCTCATGGCCTCCAAGGACTGCTAGCACCTGACCTTTGATTTTTCTGGAGACTAAAGGGGCCCTGGAATTCCAAGAAGAAAATGTAGACATGGGGGACAGGCCCACACCCTGGAGAATCTCAAATCAGGGTCCTGTTCCTCCTTGCCCTGGAGGCTTGCAGAGACCAGAGATAACCAGGGGCCCCACTGGGATAGGAGCCCCACTAACAACGAGGTGACTCCCTGGTCACAGAGAGGGCAAGCAGGGAAGAACGGAGGGACAGTCTCCAGAGAGGCCGTGCCCACCCCAGATTCTCAGATTTGCCCTCCCTTGGGCCCCAGAATCCATCCCGGTCCCTAGCGGCCTGTGCAGGGCAGGGGAGAAATCAAGTTTCCAGACACTGACTGGACCGAGAAAGGAGATGTGTGGCGAGTGTTCCCGGGTCGTCAGCGCAAGGCAAGAGACAGCAACGACATGGTACCAGAAGGCGCACAGGCTAGACACCCGGGAGAACTTCCTGCGCGCAGGAGCAAGCCCGTGCAGAGCGAGTGGGCTGCTGGCTGTGGGGACCGGCTGCGCTGAGCAGGGCATTCCCTCCCGGCTGGTGGGATGGGCTTGGAAAACTGACCTTTCCCAGTTCCGGGTCTGCTGAGGGTCAGAGTGGGGCAGCAGAGTCCCTCTGGCGCTGGCTGAGACTGGCGCCCTGCCAGGGGGTGGAAAGGTGGGGTCCCTGCCCCCGGCCGCCACCCTCTCCGCGGGGCCGAGACGTGCTCCGCCCCCGCGTCCTGCCCCCTCCGCCCTCGGTCCGGCGGCTGCGGGCCGGCAGGGGAGGAGTTAACTCCGGCGGTACCGGCTGGGCTCACAGTACCTGCCGCGCCGCCGCCGCCGGTGGGAGGGACGAGGAAGCGGGAGCCGCGGGCGCCGGGAGCGCTCCAGTCTGGCGGGGCGCCGCGCGGGGAGCGGGCGGCCGGGGCTCCGCGCGGCCGGGGGCTTCCGCCAGGGGGCGCGCCGCGACGGGGCGGGAGGGGCCGTCTGGTCCCGAGAATTAGCACCGGGGACGGGCGCGCGCGCGGGTCCCCAGCACATCTGGGCGAGCCCGGCGCCGCTGGAGCCGAGAGGGGCGCCGAGCGCGTATCTGGAGCGGCAGAGCCACCGCGCAGCTGGGGCCCTTCGAGGCGCTCCGGGCGCACATCTGGGACCTCGAGAGGGAGCCTTGGCGCGCGCAGCTGGACCAGGGGAGGGGGCGGCGGCTGCACAGCTGGACCGAAGGGGGCGGGGTCGGTCCTGGGCGGCTGGCGGAGGGGAGGGCCGCGAGGCGCCGGCGCCGGGAGCATGGGACGGCGCGCCTGAGAGAGCAGGGGTGAGGAAGGGGCCTGGGACCCCGAAAGGAAAAGCGAGGAAGGGGCACGTGAGCGGAGGAGGAGATGCAACTGACTCGCTGCTGCTTCGCGTTCCTAGTGCAGGGCAGCCTCTATCTGGTGAGTGGTCCGCGGGGAGCTGCGCGCAGGGGCGGGGGCCCGGAGCACTGGGGGAGAGCGCGGGAAGCTTCTGAGCCCTGAAACTTTCTCCCTTCCCCCCAGCATCCCAGGATGAAGGGGAAACCTGGAGGCTGGGGAGAGGGCGGCTCCGAGGCCGGAGACCCGAGAAAGGGTTAACAGGGGCGGGGAGCGGCGCTCGCTGGCCCACCCACTAGCCCGCCGGCGGCGGGAGGTGTGACCGGCACGAGGGACGAGCCGGCCGGCGGGTCGCCGAGGGTTGCTTGACCCCTTCCCGGCGCCCGGGACGCGCGGGAGAGGAGTGGGGGCGGGGAGAGGGAGCGCCGGCCCGTTAGGTCAGGGGTGTGGGCTTTGCCCTGACCTCGGGGGTCCGAGGAGCCCGGAGTCTGGATCCCCCCGTGCGCAGAGTCGGTCCAGGCGGGGGGCGGCCCCCGCGTCCTTCCCTCCGGTCCTCCCTCCCACTCCCTCCCTCCCCGCCTGTTGTTTTCCTCTCCTCTCCCGGCAGCGCGCAGCCCGAGCCCCACAGGACCAGGGCAGGCGGCTCCCGCCCCGGGCGCCCGCGGCAGCCGAGCGGGGCTCCCAGAGCCCGCGCCCCGCGCGCTCGCCCGCGGCTTCCTGGCCGCCCCGGACGCGGGGGAATCCCACCGCAGCCCCCAGCCCAGGGCTCAACTCCCCTCGGACCTCGCGCCTGCCAACCGCTCCCCACATCCCCGCCCCCCCACAATCCTGTCGTGGAGAAGCCTTAGCCTCACATCTGGATCTGCTCTTTCTCCAAAACAACAATCCCCTTGGCCTCCTCCCCTTGGCACTGCGTGGAGGAGCCGTCTCACATCCCACCTGCGGCCCTTATGCTCCAGCCTTTAGCTGGGACCCACCCCCCCCAGCCCAGTACATACAGCTTTGCTACCTAGAGCCCAGCCCCAGGAGCTTCCCCTCCCCCTGTCCTTCTGCCCCATCCCTGGGCCTGTCCGGCAGGGCCTCTGCATGTCTGAGGGCATGACCAGGCCAGAGCAAGGGGCTCAAAGATCCCAAGCCCCTTTGGAGTCCTCTAGACCACAGCCTCTTAAACCACCCCCATCCTCACCCAGGGTGATGCCAGCAAATCCAGATGCTGCCCGGTTGTGAGCTGATGCCCCACATACTAGGCACGCAGACACAGAGGGCAAATGCTCCCTTCAATAGCCAGTACACACAAACCAGGAGCTTCTCCCCGAAAGCCTCCTCTGACCACCCCACCCCCCCATGTCCCACCGCGCTGGCCTGTGCCCGAGCTCAGTCAGGGTGTCCTGCTGGTCCTCTGCCAGGAAGTCGCATGTCACCTTAGCGGATCCAGCAGAGGCCGCTGAGTTTTCCAGGAGACTTGGGGTGGGAACGGAGCCCAGATAACACCCCCGTGAAAGGACACATGCGAGACCAGAGTGTGTGGTGCGAGGGAGGGCCGACCCTGTGTGACTAAGCTCGCGGCCATGAGTCCTGTTGTCCTCATCTGTGAAATGGAACCATAATTCCTGCTCCCTCTGCTAGTAATGTCCTGGACGTCATCGCTGTCCCCAGGGGAGTGCTTGGTTTTCCATACCCTTGGTCCCCGTCCTTCCCTGGGGGTGGCGCTCAGGCAGGCCTAGCAAACCTAAGCGCTTTGTGCCTGGGAAAGCAGCCACTGGGGTCTGTTTCCATTGTCTGTTGGTTCTCCCGGCCTCTGAGGGTAGGACTTTCCCAGGGCAGGGATGGTGTCTCATCCAACCGACCCTTAGGTCCCCAAAGCAGGGCTTCGACCAGTCCTGTCAAACAGGGGCTCTCCCAGTCTAGAGGTGGGGCTCCCCTGTCTGACTCCAGGCTCTTGAAGGGCAGAGACTGCACCTCCCCCACCAGCCTGGGCGTTTCAGAGGCAGAGACTCTGCTGCTCCTGTAAGATGAGGGTGGGGGGCTGAGCCAGCTAGGGGATGTGTCTGCCATCAGGTGGGGGTCTCCCAAGAGCAGGAGCTCGGCCTCCCCATCACTCTAGGGGTCGGGATTGTGCCTCTCTGTGCCGTGGCCCCCTGGAGAGACTACCAGGCCATCTTGTAGACTGACTAGTGGCCAGAGGCAGCCCAGGAGGAGAGGAGCGGGAGGAGAGGGGAGTGTTAGAGCACTAGATGGGGCCACACCACCAGCCAGAAGGCAAACCCGCCCCCAGCCCAAGTGCGTAATGAGGTGGAGGGGCGCCTCAGTCCACGTCGGAGCCAGAGCCGGAGTGGAAGGGAACCAGGGAGAGAGATGATGCGGGTTGGTGGGCAACGGTGGGCCCTCAGCAATGGGGCTCTCACTCTCCCCCCCAACTCACTCCATAGGTCATCTGTGGCCAAGATGATGGTCCCCCAGGTGCAGAGGACCCTGAGCATGATGACCGCGAGAGCCAGCCTCGGCCCCGGATGCCTCGGAGGCGGGGCCACCTCTCCCCTAAGTCCCGCTCCATGGCCAATGCCACCCTCTTAGGGCTTCTGGCTCCACCTGGGGAGGCATGGGGGACCCTTGGGCAGCCCCCCAACCGTCCAAAACACAGTCCCCCACCCTCAGCCAAAGTGAAGAAAATCTTCGGCTGGGGGGACTTCTACTCCAACATCAAGACGGTGGCCCTCAACCTGCTCGTCACTGGGAAGATCGTGGACCACGGCAACGGGACCTTCAGCGTCCACTTCCGGCACAACGCCACGGGCCAGGGCAACATCTCCATCAGCCTGGTGCCCCCCAGTAAAGCGGTAGAGTTCCACCAGGAGCAGCAGATCTTCATCGAAGCCAAGGCCTCCAAAATCTTCAACTGCCGGATGGAATGGGAGAAGGTGGAGCGGGGCCGCCGGACCTCGCTGTGCACCCACGACCCGGCCAAGACCTGCTCCCGCGACCACGCCCAGAGCTCAGCCACCTGGAGCTGCTCCCAGCCCTTCAAGGTCGTCTGCGTCTACATCGCCTTCTACAGCACGGACTACAGGCTGGTCCAGAAGGTGTGTCCCGACTACAACTACCACAGCGATACCCCCTACTACCCCTCTGGGTGACCCCGGGCAGGCCGCAGAGGCCAAGTCAGGGCTGGAGGGACAGTCTGCCCAGCAGGAGGCCATCGTCTGGACACTGGGCAGAGGCGGGGAGGGGGGTGGACAGGAGGAGAGGTCAAGTGGGGCCGGGACCAAGTCTCCAGGGGCACCGGAGGGGTCCCAGGTGCTGGCCGGGCCCGAGGCTGTGGCCCGGGGCGCAGGAGCACCGAAGGAGGAGTTTCCTGCGCAGCTTTATGTGACTTCCCCACCCAGCTGAGGGTGGGCAGATGCTGGGCCCCGAGGCCCTTGGGTAGACAGACCAGCGTGACCCCAGATAAGGTCATGGGGAGGAGCCTAAAACCTTGGCTCCTCCCTGCTGTCCTGAAAAGGGACGGCAGCGAGGAGAAGGGGATTTCATCAGCGTGGACACCCCCTAAGCGCCAAAGTCGGGCTTCCTGGGAGCCAGCACTCAGGGTGGCAACGGGAGGAACTCTGCAGCCCTCCCCACTGGGCAGCCCCCAGTCTCTTGTCCTGGACGGTGGGCTGAAGGTGGCTTGAGACTCGAGCGCTGTCCCATGGAGCCACTGATGTCTTGACCCCCTGCCTCTAGCCAGGCCACCCCTTTCCAGAATTTCCTCTCGTGCCATTGCCCCCCACCTCTACCCACCCTCGAGCTGGCAGGACGCTGTCCCAAGACGGAGGGCAGTGGTGGGTCTCCCAGCACCACGGCCACCGTGGACACTCATGTGTGCGGTCCCCCCTGCTGGCTCCTCCAGGAGCGTCCTTGTCCAGTGAGTGATCCTGCAACAGCCAGTCTCCCCTGTCAGATCCCGGCTCACCCAGATGGAGATGGTGCCTCCCCTCTGGGCCCCGGGGTGGCCCTCGGCAGCGGTGAGCTGAGGGAGGCCACCGTGGCGAGCTGAACCTGTTCTGTAGTGTCTGTCTGTGGTGGGGGGAGGGGCGGGAGGTTTCGTGAAATCATCTGAATGTCGAGTTCTGTGTGCAAAATCTTGTTCTTGGAGCAGGGAATAAAGCTTTCCCGCGGGGGCACTGGACTCCAAGCTGTCTGGGGGAAGGGGCTGGGTGCCTGGCGGTCCACAGGACTTTTCCTTGAGACTAGAGCTGCAGGGCGCCTGGCTCTGGTAGGGGGTGGGGGCTGCATCTGCAAGAACAGCTGGGAAGGAAGAGCTGGCAGATGGGACGGGTGAGCCAGGGTCTTCTCCCTGGACTGCCATCCGGGTGACCCAGCGGGGATTTGCTTTGCGCCTTGGGTGACTTCATGCCTCTCTGGGTTTCTTTCCATTTCTGTTTTATAAAATGAGACGCAGGCCCAGCCCAGAGGTTCTCAACTGAGATTGGGCCTCTGAATCACTGAGAGGCTTCCTTAAAACAAAGACTGCCCAGCACAATCATCCCAGAGTTTCTGGTCCCGTCGGTCTTGGGGAGGGCCTGAGACCACCGTGCTCACCCGGGTGCCCGGGTGCCCATCGTTCTCCTGGCCCAGGCGCCACCTGAGGACCCCTCTTACTCACACACAGCCTTTAAGTTCCTTTCTGGCTCTGGCTCCCGAGCATGAGACTCCTCTGGCTCCTCCCAACTGTGATTTCCACCTGCTTCTCCTGCCAAGGGTTCTTTCAGAGATCCAGAGGCTTTGGATTTTCAGTCTGCTGACACCTGCGAAGGGACAGCCAGGCGACTAGGGATAGGCAGGGCTGTGAACACAGCCATTCCTCTGCCCCAGCCAAGAGGAGAAGAGGGGCCTGCCAGTGGCTCCTCATCTGGAAGTCAGTTGGGCACTTTGGGGCTTAGCGAGGACAAAGCAGGGGCCCCACTACCGAGGCCACAGTGCTTTCTCGAGGTCACCTCTCACGGAAGGTCAGCCCTTGTGTCCCCTGATTCCCTTTTAGCCTCACAGCCACAGTAAGGAGCCCCAGCACAAGGGTGGAGTGGTCTCACCACTCCCAGCCTGTCTCCCCTGGCCCCCATCACTCAGCTTGGACCAGGCCTCTTGCACTGCAGAGCAGAGCGGGATGGGGCCCAGCAGCCACCTTGTTGTATGAAATGACCCAGAAAGGGGACAAGAAGTGAACCCACACTCCTATGGCAGCTTCTTCCCCTGCACAGCTTGCTGGGGTCATCTGTCCTGAGCAGAGATCCGGGAGACTGCCCCCTCTCCTCCATGCCATAGTTTCCCTACCCACCCTGGGTCAGAGCTCAGAGTTCAGAGAGACCCAGGGGCTCAGGCCCTGCTGGGCTGCTGCGTTCCCTCCTGCAGATGTGTGAACCCCTCAGACACCAGCCAAGGCACCTCCCGTGGCCCCGTGGTCTAGAGAGGGAGGGAGGGCGGAGGCTGAACTGTCAGCAGGGCCTGGGGGCACTCTGACCCACCCGCTCTGGCTCCTCTACTCCTGCAGAGAGCCAGATGCTGCTGACAGCTGGAGGGCCAGCCTGCCTGGCACACAGTCCTGCCAGCATGGGGGGTGGGTTCATTTTAATAACTTCACTTCACCCTCACACACACTCCACCGCTTCATCCCCCTTTACTGCCTTCCCCGCAACCCGGCGGCTCTTCTCAGCTAGAATCTTGCTAACAGATTTCCTCCCGAATCGTAATTCTCTTGGACTAGCCCTCTGGGCCCTGCTCTTGCCATCACCAGATGCTTCCTGCGGCCTCCTTCATCCTCAGAGGCAAGGGGCCAACTGCCTCTGGTTACCCAGGTTCCCACCTCCGCTCCCTTGGTGAGCAGTGCTCACCGCCTGTCCCCCCCACCCCAGAGCTGGACCCCCAAGTCCTGGAAGCGCTCTGACCGTCCACTCTCCAAACACTCACAGGAGGGCAGTTCCTGGGAGGAGCCTGCTCCTAGGCCAGGGAGAAGTTGAAGTCCTATCCTCGCCCCAACCACGGCCTTCAGGGCCCTCTGGCACCTCAGGCCATCAGTGACTGGCTGCTGGCCCCGTGGTCCTGCTGCCCCAGGGCCAGGGGCCTTGTCTACTTTATGGGAATAGGGCCTCTGCACAAGTCATCCAGATCAGGGCTCTTTGGGAACACAGTTCTGTATCTTCCCACTAGACTGGGGACCCCAAGAGCCTCCCTCATCAGACTGGAGTATCCCTGAGGGCAACACCTACAATATGGAGGCAGGGTGGAAATTTGTTCTTTTCTGGGCATCAAAATAACACCTTTGCCCGTCGGCCCTAAGGAAGTGCTCAGTGTCCCACCTCGGATGGGGAGACTGTCCCCCGTGGCTTTGAGGTCAGCTGGCAGCAAGGCAGATTCTTCCTCCCCATGAGGCTTAAGGCAAAAGCAAGTGTGTGTCTGGGTCTCTCCTCCCTCCTCTCTCCTCCCTCCCCTCTCATTTTCCTTCCCCAGGATGAGCAAGCGGGAACTGAGTCACCCCGTCCCCATCCTTGGCAGGAATGCTGGTGACCTTGCATGCGGCACACTCCCGTGGCGAGGAGATGCACACGAGGTGGGTGGGTAGGCAGGGAAGCAGGGGGAGGGTGTGCATGGGGTGGAGGCAGCTGAAGGTCAAGGGTGACCAGGGCCTGGATTACCATGTGGGTCTGGATGGGGGGTTGAGGCATACACAGTGAACCGGCTGCTCTGTTGGGCAGCGAGCCAATGTCATGACTGGGAGTGGGAGAGAGAAATGTTACTTCTGAAGACTCTGAGTCCTGCGGTACTGCCAGGAGAACTGGGGGCTGGGGTGACGGGTGCAGAGAGGCAAAGGCAAGCTTGGGTGGGGGCGGTACCTGCTGATATGCCAAAGTCCTGGAGTAACAGCTGCCACTGTCACCAAGGCACAAATGTCAGAGGAGACCTGGTGCCCAGAAGTTGGGGGCTGAGTTCTGGCTCCACGGGGCCCTGGTTTGTTTTTGACCCGCCAAGTGAATGGCTGACCTGATAACAACCCACATGAAGACGCCTCGTTCAAAGCCTCCTGGTTCATCATCTCAGAGCCACCTGGCTAGAGGCTCCCAAGGGACAAGCACGCACCTCTGGAACCACACAGGCTGCCAATGAACAGGCCACATTGGTGTGGCAGGAATATCCTCTGGGTGCCAATCCCGGGCCTGGGGTTTATTAGCTGGGTGGACTTGAACAAATGGCATAACCTTCTAAAGGCTCCTTAGCGGAAAAACTAAGCATCTACTGTATATACCTTGGAGTGTTGCTGGGAAAATGAAACCATTTGCTCAATGGATGTTACTTTCTTCTCTCTTTTTTGTTTAAAGATTTATTTATGTATGCATACAAGAGCTGGGGTATAGGCCAGAGGTGTGGGGGGTGAAAGGATTCACCAGAGACAGAGTGGGGAGCAGAATAGGCAGACTGACTGAAGTACACTGCTGAGGAAGCAGCGGGCAAGACAGGACAGGTCTGCTGCGCCACGTGGTTTGCTCCCTGGCCAGCCAGGGTTCTGAACTCCTGCAGCAGAGGCTGCAGATTGCTTCATAGTGCGGTGTTTAACCCTTGCACCACCAGGGAGGCCCAACTTCTCTTTTGTTTTTGGAGGTGGCTTTAGGTTAATATCAGCCTTGCTGTTCCTGGTGTGGTCAGGTGAAAGGGCCGCCCCCCACCTCCAGGGAGAGGAGACCTGGGTTCTTGTCCTGTGCCAGAGGCAACTGATTGTAATATCCATTTCCCCCTTCTCCATAGTAATGGAGTTCGCCATTGTTAGCTGGGGACATGGCTCCCTGAAATACACTTCTCTGCCTCCCTCGCGCCTAGGACCACATGCCTAAGATCTGGCAGCGACACGTAGCTTAAAGAGTTATCTAGCAACTTCCAGAAATCTTGAGAGTTGATGTATGCCCTTTGCCTGTTTTATATCCCCTCATTCTTTTTATGTTCCAACCTCCATCCTGCCACCTGGAATACGTATGTGATTGCCAGAGCTCTAGCTGCCATCTTAGACTTGGGGATAAGAGCCACACCCCAGAAGGGACAGAGCAGTGATCTGGAAGAAATCTTGGTCTCTGAAAATTTTGTGGAATAGAAATATCATACCAATCCAAGTCTGCCCACCTTTAGACTTTAGAGAAAAATCAAATGCCTATCTTATTTCTATCAAATGTCTCTATTTCTGGTGGTTAAATCTAGTTCTACCAGATGCGACGGTGTTGGGCACCTCATCCTCCTCATCTGCAAGAACGAGATACCACCTGCATGTCTGGTCACACGTCATGGAAGGTCTGTGGCCTCACAGGCAAGCATGGACTAGGGAAGGCTCTGGAGTTCCCACCCTCACTGCGCTGAGGCAAACAACCTCCATCTTTGGAGCTGGAACAAGTTGCTGCTCATTGCAGGGAGCCCCCTAGGGCTCAGAAGGATTCTCTACTCAACTGAAAGGCCTCAGTCCCCAAATTCAGCCCGGCACGTCTGAGTCCCCATCCACATTCTGATGTTGGTGACACACAATCCTCGTTAAGGGCCTGACTGATCCCAGCCAGATGGGATTCTAATTTAATTAAAACCCTTTAATTACCTGCAACAACACAGCTTCGAAAGTCCAATGCAGAAGGGGGCCTGTGATGGGAGGGGCACTGCTGACAGGCCAGGGTGGTGGCTGCCTTTTCATTCCTCAGGGAACCAGGGTTGCCAGGCATTTCTCCTACCCAGGTGGGCAAAAAGGCACAAACCGCGTGAAACAGCCTGTGTGGCCCAGGCTTCTGGCTTGTTCGACAGCCAAGCGGGGAGTGGGCAAAGCAGGCCCTCGGGAGCAGACTACTGGCTCTTGAAACCGAAGCTGTTAGTGTTGGTTCTGTGCCTTCACTGAGAGCAGCAGAGACAGCTTAAGCTCAGTCTGAGTCTTCCCAAGCCCCAGGCCCTGGGTAGGAGCAGGGTGGCCTCTGGCTACTCGGGATCCGGCTTGGCTTAGGAAACGGGGGCAGCTGTGCATCCACAAGGCAGGACTTGTCCCTCGCACAGGTCTTCCCTAAGGTGTCATCCTCCTAGGGAGTGGACATGAAAGGGAGTGACTTAGGTGGGCAGCAGAGGGAACCTGTGGTTTTGGGGGACTAGTGAGGAGCGCCCCTCCCCCCACCATGGTGTTGGGCCTCAACTGGCTC